TTGCACTTGGCTTTCTGTGTACTACAGCGGATGGCTTCCATCCAGCATGCCCCAGTTGAGATATTTAAGTGGCAGGGATTTTTAAGCTGGAGGGTCTATCAATGGGATTTAGGAACTCTTTGAATTTTTTAAAATTATATTCCTAAAGTCTTGTGAATGTGCATTTTTGTACTCTTTAATTTGATTCTCAAGGGAATGTTTACTTCAAAAAGTAAAGGATTGTTGCAACAAAAGCCCTGGTGGTCTTACACAATTGGCCCTGCAGTCCAGCTCCCCCTTTCTTCCTCCATTCCCTCTGCTCATGCTGCTGATGTTGCTGTCATTTAAAGATTGATGCACAATCAGTTTATGTGGAATCTTGAGTAATACTACTCTCTGTTTTACTCCTACATTCATTGAGTCACAAAGTCCTGACCAGTCAGGTCACCTCCCAAATCTGTCACCTTCATTCACTCTGTGCATCCCCAGGCCTGCCTCCAGTCCAAGCTTCCTCATTCTCAGCTGGACCACTGGCCAGTTCTCCCTGCCAGCAGTCTTGTGACATTCTAGCCCAATGTCCATGCAGCAGCAAACACAATCCTTCAAAATGCAAACCTGAGAGGGTCATCCCCCTCCTTAAGGCCCATCAATGCCTGTACACTAAATTTGGGACAAAGACAAACTTCTCATCTAGTGTCCAAGGCCCTCCATGGCCCACTTCCTGCTACTCCAGCCCACCTCCCTTCACCCTTCTAGACTCCACATCCAGTGCTTGCAAGAGTCTACAAAGTCTCTAGCTAATAGCTGGGAGTGAGTGGGTCTGGTCTCTCACTGCAGTCTCTTACTACTGGGCCTTGAAACATGCTGTCACTTCTACTGGACCCCTCTTTCCTTCTCTTCCCATTATTCCTACTCCTACTTATTCCTCCAGAACTCAGCCAAAGTGTCCCTTCCTCCACGACGTCTTCCCAACTGTTAGGACAGGTGCTGACACCTGTGCTCCCCACTCCTATAGCCCCTCCACCCTCATTCACCATGTGCATCACCCTGCTATGCATGTGAAAATCAGATTCTCAGCTGCATCGACAAGTCTTGTCTGAAGAGGCACACTTGGAAAAAATGTTCATATTTTACAATGGATTATTTAAAAAAATTCTAGAAAGAATTTTTAAACATTCCACATTTCCCTTCCCATTCTGATTGCTTTTCCTTTCTTAATAATATTGAAGTGTGTTTTCTGCTTTTTGAAAACACATTAACTGCCATGTGAGTTGTATTTAATTCATGCTAGTTTTTATCCCAGGGCCTCGTGAAGCATACGAAGACTCAATTCTCTGAAACAAATTCAATAAGTATGTCCTGAGTCACATACAACTCAAGTGGCGTGCAGTGTAAAAATTAATTCTAGTGCCACATGAGTTGCATATAACTCATGCACAGAAAACAATAAAAAATAACAAATTTTTCATTAGAAAAATTAGAAAGGATAATTTTGTTTTTGAAGTTTTTATTCTATTTTTGTGATAAAACTCCATGGCCTCAGGAAAAACATTTTTTTTTTCTAGTGTGGCAGTCAATGTGTTAAATTACACACCAATCATGAGACTCAAACTATTTGTAAAATATTAATCACTTTAGTTTCACCAAAGTGTTCTCATATTGCAAGCACAATGGTGTTCTTTTTTGGTTCACAATGTTATGGGCAAAGAACAGAGAGAAGAAAAGAGAATCAAAAACATATCCAACAATGCAATTAAGTTCGTAGCCAGCCTGTTCCTTGTTTTCAAGTAATGTCTCTTGTTTTTCTCTTCTTGAAGGTGTTGCTGGTATCTAAAATGAAATTTAGATTTATGAAATAGAAATGAAATATTAGTGTCAAAAGACTCCCAAGTGATTAAAGACTCTGCCTCTCTATGAATGAGTAGAATCTATCAGTCAGTGATGAGGTATAGAATATGCTAGAGAGAAATTACAAAGGGAGCAGAACGTAACTGTCTCTTTTCTCAAAGAGTTTATTATTAGGAGAGTTTATGTTATTGTTATTATGTGACTAGCAGAACACAGACAGGTCTCAAGGACCCCTTGGTAGAGGTGGGAATAAGCCTGGCAAGGGCCCCCGTTGTCTGGCCACCATCTGACTTGTATTCTGTTTGATTTTGTTAGGACCTTATGGGAATGTTTTCATTTCAAGTGAGGAAGGTATATCTACCATATGCCATTCCCTGCCCTTAAAGAGTTTATATCTAACAAGAAACACACATGAACATGCACATGCACATGCATATACACATAAGCAAAACATAGCAAGACATTTGGATACAGCTCTCATAAAAAAATGCACAATGTGTTTTTGAGTCCATCTGAGTAGAACTCTCCACAGAAAGCATGAATGTGACCAGGTTCTTGAATATTTACATGGGCATCATAAAACATTGTGGGGAGAGTGTGCCAGTCAGATGGGACAAGCCAAGACACATGAAAATAGTGGCTTTGGTTTTCAAATAGCACAGGGAACCTACAGGTTAGAGTCCTTGGCAGGGAGGGGCAAAACAAATAGGAAAGGAAGATAGCATAAAACTGTGGAAGGCTTTGAATGCCAAACTAGAGAGTGTAGACTCTGTTCTCAGGTGGTGAAGAGCCATCAGTGTTTCACATGAAGGTGACTAGATCTGACCTATGTTTTAGGAAGATAACTGGCATTTATAAATGACAGTATAAAACATCGTCACAACTTTTGGTCTAAAAGTAAGAGAAAAATACAAGTCACAAGAGGTGGGCAGACCAGATACAAGACCAATCCAGAGAAGGAAGGCAGCCTAAACTAGGGCAGTGTTGATGGAAGAGAAGAAAAGGGAAGTATTCAGAGGCATTTTAATAACCCCCCCCCATGAAATGTTCCAATGGAAGAAAGAAGATACAAAGATGATCTTGATGTTTTGTGCTAGAGTTTTTAGACAATAGTCATCTTTAACCAAAAGTGGGCCCCCAAGAAGGTGTAGCAGACATAAGGAAGATGGGGATGGGGATGTGTTTTATCTTATATATGCTTAGTTTTACTCTGGGACATTCATGCTTAGTTTTACTCTGGGACACTCAGGTGAATTGACCCAGGAAGCAGTTGTGAATATGAATAAAGTTGAACATATAGATAGCAATTATTGAATTCATGTGACTGGAGGGAATAAGATATAGACAGAATTTTGAAAAGAAGGAAAAGAGTTTTGAAAACTCTGTGATTAATAAGCAGATTAAAGAAATATGACCCTAAAAGATAAAAGATCACTGTTGTATAAAAAGAAATCCATTATAAGATCAGCAACTTGATCTTATCCTAAAGTGGTCTCTGGGGCTCTTATTTCTACCCCAAATCACATCCTTGGGACTAATGACTATATTTATTCTAAAGACACACTGAGTGCCTACCACATGTCAAGTATTGTTCTAGGGATGTGAAGATGCAGAAACAGATCAGACACAGCTACTTCCCAGGAAACATGAACTTCAATGGTAAGGCAGTTCCTGAGCAGCTGTTACCTTTGTAAGTTTTGAATCTGATATTTATTGATGATGTTAAACAGAAAGTATCAACGCTTTCACAAGTGCCACAGTTTCAGAAGCTGTTTCGAGTCGTGAAAGTTCCACCAGACCAAGGCTAAATCATGACTGCACAATGTAGCCCCTTCTCTAAATGAGATGGGGTCCTTAAACAAGAGGTGGAAATATGGGTAGAACCAACCAACCAACATTGCGAGGAAAATTTGTATTTAGTTTTTCTGTATGGAATAGTCTGAATATTGGTAATCCCCCAAATGTATATGTTGGTACCTAACTCGCAAGGCAATAGTATTAAGAGGTGGGACATTTAAGAGGTGATTAGTCATGAGAGCTCTGCCCTCAAGAATGGGGTTAGTGCCCTTATAGAAGATGCTGAACGGAGCTGCTTTGCCCCTTCCACCCCTTCCACCATGTAAGGGCACAGCAAGAATGTGCCTTATGAAGAACAGGCCCTCACCAGACATAGAGTCTGCTGCTGTTTTGATTTTGGACTTCCCAGCCTCCAGAACTGTGAGCGATAAATTTCTGCTATTTACAAATTACCCAGTCTAAGGTATTTTCTTATAGCAGCCTGAATGGACTAAGATGTATGATATTTTTCACACATCTCACTTTCACTCTTTCTGTCTCCTACTTTAAATGTCAGTGGCTTTGAGTCCCACCATGACCGTCCAGAGAAACCTGTCAGCAGGGAAAAGTATCCATGATTGTGAACTTATGTGGCCGCCATCAAAACACATACTCCTGTCTCCTATTTCTTGAGGAATATGCTATTTTTTACTAATAATAGAAAGGAATGGTAATGCAAAAAATCAGTTCCTGCTCACAAACATACCACTTAAATTCACTCCCCATAAAGGTCCCTAAGAAAGACATAATAGTTATTACAGGTGTTGCAGGTTAGTGTTTAAATTACTTTGACCAAGGGATTTTCTACATCTTTCAAATCATATCAAATTTACTTGTTCATACCATATTCATGTATTCCATTATTGTTGTTGAAAATCAAGTATCTGCCAGGTCTAGAACTAAGCACCATGATGACATGCAATAGGCTATCCCTGATTTATACAGCTCCTATTCAGGTAAAAGTTTTTTTGTGATTAAAACACAATTCAGTAGATTTACTATTTATAAATTCCTAAGTAAGTTCAGCATGGTATACTGATTCTTTATTTTTAATCTATTTATAAAGTTACATATGGCTTATTATAAATATTCATATGTACAAATCATTTTCCTGTATGAATTTAAATCCTAATATTTAAAATTAGCTCACCACCCCCTGTATCTATAAAGTAAGCAACTTTATGTGTAATAAATTTGCAGCATTGAACCAAATGAAGCATATTACAAAAAGCATTGTTTCCTTTCATTCCTTGCTTGGTTTAGAAAATAAAGAAAGCACTAGTGTCCCACAATTGATCAGAGGAGAACAATCACATTGGGCAGGTGTGTTTTATTTCTTTATTCTGATAAATAGAGAAAAAAATTGTAAACTCCATATCATTTGAAATAATATGCTGTAAATAACAACTGCCAACCTTTAAAAGATCTTTAATATTTGAAAAACTATGTACATTCTCAGTATTATCAAGGAAAGGCCAAAAGATATTAACTTGAAATTATTAATGAAATATTTTGGTTGGTCCCCAATCCCAAGTCCATATTTTTTAACATCTAGATTATACATTGGTTTAAATTAAATGCATGAAAGTAAACTCTAATGTCTTTGTAGGTCAACAATGAAAAGTCATCCTTCACATTTATTTCTAGGAAGCAGTTGGCCTTATTTCCTAGATCTTTTATGATGAAACTAGGCTCTCTGTGATAACTGTAGAGTTTCAGAAAAGATTCCTAGGGCTGCTGCTTCTATATTCTCATCACCAGTGGGGCCGTGGGGGAGAATGCTAGACACAAGCATGTGTAGAAAGACAACAAAATTAGAAATGGATGAGGCGACTGGTGGTGGAAACACTAAGAGCAGGGATAAGGACAGTCAACCAGGTGTCTGAGAAGAGTCAAGGCACCAAAATCACTTGCTGATCAATGTTAGGAAGAAATAAACTCAAGGGAAACATTGTACATTTCCAATAATACTCAAATCTATTCATTTGTGGTGGTTCTGTGACGTGGCAGGGACTACTGTGATGGAAATCGATTGGATTTTCAGGGGCAAGAGACTTTGCCACTAAATAAGATAATGTCTTCCTTCCTGATGAAAAATAGGAATGGGCGGTCGGCTCTGAACACCGCTGACTCAGGGAGTAGCTTTTCCACGATGTTACTTCCAGTGGCAGCAGAAGCCTCGGTGCCATCCTCAGTGACCTCTATGTATGACTTGTGCATTAGTTTTGATATATACAGACGACCTCCTGAAGCTATTCCAGAGAGATCAGCTCTGGACTCATCAAAGATATCTTTCACCCCTAGGGCTTTTAAATGGGCTTTGAGTTCATAATCCTTCTCTATCTTGAATTGAGGAAGATACACCTCAACATACTTAGTGGTCATTTTCCTTGGATTGGTCCATTCTATTAGATTCCGAAAGTTCAGTTTGTTTTCAACCTGTAGAAATAATTAAAAAGGTAATTTAGAATCGTGTGGTTAAGTGACAGATGAAACAACAACTGCAAAGGTATATGGTTTTCCTTAATCGTCTCTTCCTGGATATTTGTATTCAAGCATGTGAGTGGGTCTTGGGGGGGGGTATCCTCAAAAAGGGAAGAGTACTAAAATGAATACTTCAAGTACTTTTTAATAAATCACATATTTCATTTGCTGTTCTCTGAGAAGGCATGAGTTATTTGCACTTCAGGGCAATTCTGTTCTCTGCCCACATATGAATAATGGGCAAATATTTCTCATACCCAAAGTGGAACAAAGGACAGATGAGGGAATTTGGGAATCAGAGATCATCAAAGGAAGAAAGAAGTTCAGTAGTCATTTAAATCAGTGTTTCTTGATCATTTTCCCATCATGAAAGGCAAATAATAATAATAATAATAATGTTTACACAGCTTGCTGGAGTAAACCAATGGAACCCCAGGTGGCCTGAGTCAAGTCCTTAGAGTTTGGGAGTTTGGATGATCAATATGTCCAGCACAGTCATCCATACTATCTGGGAAGCTTGGATCCAAGTCTACTCTCCTAGTCAACAGATGAGACAGCTGAAGCTCAGGAGGTTGTAGGGAGACATGGCAGGGTGCAAGGCAAATAGCCTTAATTATACAGCTAGGATCCCATCTCTCTCTCCAACACCAATTGCTGTCCCCAGAGATCCACAAATTGAATTCACCAATTCTTGACTATTAAGAATTGATCATAAATTCTTTCAGATTTAGAACGAGAATTTAGAACGAAAGTGTTCATGAACATTGTTTAGAAATCTTATATAAGGACATTTCTTCTCAAATTCAGGCTCACTGCAATCCTAAAATAATTTTTACCATCATCAAACTTGCATTCTTATCCAGGACCTCGATTTATATAGTCAATCGTAGTTAAATTTGACTTTTCTGTGTGTTAGTTATCCCATTCGTGGTTAAACTGTAATAACTTTTCACGCTGAGTTGAATTTTTTTTTTCATTTAGCCCACTGACAGCCAACTTCCTCATCATTATCTGGTTATGTAGGATTGTGTAGGTATTTAGGATTTTATAGTATGTAGCTTTATACTAGTCAGATCCAAACATTATTAATAAATCTATTATAGAAAAGGAAAACTCAGACAATAAGTATAAAAATAAATCTATCTTTTTAGTTTGTTTTATTTGGGCTACTTTTTTTCTATTATACATTATTTTAAGTTAAAATAATCAATGTGTGCTAAAATCTCATTGTTATGAAGACTATAACAAGTGAATTATTGATTTAATATGAGTAGTAATATTTAATGTGGTCACACTTTAGATTTAACAATGCCAACTGTATGACATTTCTTTTGCTTCTCGTGTCAAAAAAAGGATATTAAGATGAAAAATTAATGAGTGAAAGTCATTGCAACAATTCAGTGGTCTTTGTCTAGGTGGAAACTGTCTTTCCAAACCTTTAAAGTCATGTTCTTAAATCATAAGAAAAATATGGGTAGAAATAATGCCTCTGGATAGTAAGAATATCTATTTCTTTATATTCTTTCTACTTTCCAATTATTCTACAATAAACATTCATGGTTTTCCACATCAAAATAAAAGAAATACTTTAGCATGTAATTATAATTTTTAGTGTAGCTGAGGTACATACGTATGCGTACATACAGACACCCACTCACAAATCACATTTTTGTACACAAGTGTGTATCAGACAAATTGATTAAATTCCATGAGCCTCCTTTCTCTATATCACAAGGTTGCTGTTCACAACAAATGAGAGGACATAAATGAAGCTCAGAGCAGGTGGACTGGCATGTAGTAGATCTCCATGAATGATGTCTATTACTCCTTTTGATTGGCAGAACACAGAAGGGTGATGGGCATAGGCTCTGAGATTTCAGGCCCCAGACTCAAAGAGCCGAGTTCAGGAGGAAGGAGGGAGGAAGAGGGCTAAAGGAGATCAGGATCTGAGAGGCAGTGATGGCATCTGGTTCACATGGCCCCACAGTCTGCCCCTTGCACTGTGCTTGTCTGCTTCTCCTGATGTGGCAGTCACAAGGTAGTCCTACCCTCTGCTTTCCACTAGAGACACAGCAGCACAGAGTGAGACCATACATTTTAATTCTCAAAGTATCAGGACTCCACCATATCATACCTGCCTGAAGATGCTCGGTCTGCCAAAATGTCAGTAACATGTAAAAGACTGTTTTCATGGCCAAGCACCAAGAAGAACTAAACTCATGCCTTTTGACTCCATAGCTGAGATTTGAGAGGGTTCTGACTTTACAGCTATTCAACTATAATTATGCCAAAATGAGATAAGTCAATTGCAACATCTAAAATGGTATCTGGCACATTGTAGGTACTCCTTAAATATTTGTCAAATAAATGAATAAATGGGTGAGTCTCTAATATCCCAACAATGTGAAATCTTAATGTTTATGGATGAAAACACAATCAACAGTATTCTAAAAGTTTTACTATTCCCCAAGAATGAAAGTGATAGTAGTCACTTACTTGCGATAGGTCATTCTCTGGCAGGAGAATGTACATGCTTATGTCACCATTGTATTTGAGCTGAAGGACCTGCATAGATGGGTCCTGAACAACAGACAGATTGAACATCCGTTCTTGATGCATCATGGCAACTGCTTTCCCAGGACACTGAAAGTCCAATCACACACAAAATTATCATTAATAATACCACCTCATTTTACTTATTGACTAAATACAATATTTTTATATTTTGTTCAGTTGATCCTGTAGATTTTCCTGACATGTTGCCAATATTGGTTATATTGGAACATGTCATAGTGGTGAGAGAAAAGACTTAGAGTTTGGTCCTCTAAGTTCAAAACTTCCTCACTGTGTGACCTTGGGTAAGTTACTTTACCTCTTTGTGCCTCCATTTCCTCTTCTATATCATTGGGGTGATAGTTGTCCCTGCTGCATAGGATTGTTGTGAGGATTATGTGAATTAATATATCTAGCACTTGGAACATTGCCTTGTACCTAGTGTTTTAACTGAAAATGTCTATATTACAATGAAAAATGAATGCCATAGGTTTTTTTTTTCTCTAATTTGAAATAAAGTACAGATTAATACTACCAAAATTATGCGCTGGAAGGCTGAGGTCTTAGAAAAATTTTTTAAAAGCCCTGCAAGATATTTGGCAATGTCTCTTAAATTAACTAGGGCAAAACATAATGACTCTTAAATACCATTTATAGATTTAGAGACACCATAAAGCTACAATAAAATGTCTTTTTCCTAATGTTGATTTATGATCTTCACACTTGTCGACATTTCTATAATATCCTACTTTAGGACAAAAGGTTCTACATGGGGAGGACAAATAATTCTATGTCCTTGAGCAAAAGGTCCTTCTCCCTCTGGAACCATTGCCTTTTTGACTTTGAGTCCAATCCTCAGAAAGAACTCATGTGGAACATCCACCTACTTGGTGAGATGGGCCAACAGAATTAAGCCTGGAACCAATAAATGGAAGCTGGGATGTAATAGGCACAATGTCTCACTCCTACACTGCAGCAGGGAAAGAATCACACAGCCGGGTTATGCTGGAGATGTAATTTCACCAATTTTTAATGCAATGAAACCAACCCTAACATCAGCCATCTAGACTCTATAATCTGTTACATTGTAATCTATCTGTTATAGCTATATTATATAGGGGGTGTGAACTAGCAGAAAGAGAGTTTAAAACAATCTTGTTATATAGTTGTACTTTTTTAGCTAAAAACCTCTTTAGGAAAACAAACAAAGGTAGATGTGGAAAACTGAAAACTCACATCCAAACCTTGTAAGTGCCAGGCACTCAAATTCTAATACTATCTAACATACTTCATATTGCAATTACACAGAAAATATAAGCTGTGTCTTATAGACAGAGCCATATTTTATTAGAATCTATCATGTTTTATTATTTGTCCATATGTAATTTTTAAAATATGTCTGTGCCCATCTCTTTCTTCCCCAAGAGATATCTCCATCATAACTTTGCTCCATTGGGCCTGTGGGACACAGAGCAGGGCTGTCTTGTGGTCACTGCAGGCTACCTAAAGCGCATCCATGTCCCAGTTCTACTTTTCACTCAAGTGTCCTCCCAAAGAGTGACCACATCTGCAGATATGGCTGCCTAGGTAACCCTCTAGTCTCAACTCCTGACTCACTCAGTGATCTTTCATGGCTACCAGGTCTCAGCACTCTCATGTCGAAAACTTCTGATGTGGGAAAATGCAGAAAGAATATTTCAATAGATGAAAAATACCACTTGAAAAATAAAACTATTTTAAAATTATTAATAAATCTAAATTTCTCAATATAAAAGACTGATTTTAAAAATTAGATATCAACTAATCGAATCCCTTCATTTTACATGTGAGGAAGGGTAAGTCCACAGTGGTTAAATTAATTTGCCTAACACAAAGCAGCTTCTAAGCAAGGCAGGGACCCCAGCACTGTATTTCTGACTCCCAGGCCTTCAATATCTCTGCTTTACTAAGAGTACTATGTATAGGTTGGAAAAAAGCCAAGAAGATGTTTTATGAAGCTCAGTAATAAGATGTTTTAAAATAGAATTAAAGGAAGAAATAGATATGGTTTCTCCTTGGAAATGCATAATATGATTTCCCTTTATGAAAGGAAACACATCCCCGCATTGACTCTAGAAAATCATTGGGAAACAACTCTAATTGAAGACCCCACCATTAAAATCACGAAAAATAAAAGGTACACTTTTGTCATATTTTCTTCTTATGGGCCACCAACTAAAATATATTAAAATACATTCAATACTTCCTTCAATTTTGAATGTATTTTAAGAACTATCAATTTACAGGACACGCTTGGTTGGGTTTCATAAGTTGCATTCGGGAAATAGAAAGTTTGCTTTATGAAACAACTGACCATACAGTATTGGTGACACAGAAGAAAAAATGGGTAAAGAAATGGCGAAGCCAGCAATTGCCTAGGTAAATACAATTTCCTGCAAAGGAATACTATTGGGGGGAAAGAATCCTAAGTTAAATGGGAGATTTACAACATACCTTGGGAGATTTGAAACGGCATTTCACAGTTTCACTCTTGGTGAAGGCTGACTCCCACTTTCCCTTGAAGTACACGGCGTTCACCAGCACCATGACAGCAGACGAGCTTATGCTGCCTTCTTTAAACACACTCTTGATCTTGCCTTTTGCAAAAGAAATTGAGGCAAAAATGTTAATTTTTGATGTGAATTCTTTTAAATGTTTTTAAAGATCATTAATGGGCATGAAGTTTTTTTTCTTCTCTCATAATAATTATAATGCTAATAAGCATATTAGTAGTCATCTATGAGCAATTAATGTTTCTAAGTCCTTATGGTGTAATAATCTTCACAATATCCCTGTGAGGTAGGCACTATTATTATTTCCATTTCCTGTTGAAGAATCTGAAACACAGATTCTGTGACACAGAGAGATATTATGTAACATGTGCAAAGTCACACAACAAATGATGACAATAGGATTCTGACTGAGAAAGACACTCCCCAGAGCCCCTACTTATAGGCACCAAACTGCCTTTACTGCATTGACTAGGCCACTTCTGGTTACTACAGCACTCTGAGTATAATTTAGCTCCAACCAGCTGAAAAGGTCAAACCCCTCCTTCATTCTAAATTAGTGAGATTTTTGCTAGATGCCATGTACTATTCTGGGTACTTGAATTACAATGATGAAAGATACAGCCATGCCATCACTGGGTTAGGCTTAGGGTTAGGGTTACAGTCTAGCTTATGGGAGTCAACAACCAAAAAAGCAGTTGTAACTCACCAATAGCACAGAGGTATGATCCATGCACTGTGGGAGCACAGATCAGGGGCACCCAGTTCTAGCTGGGGCTGTCTTAGTTGGGGGAATGTTGGGGGGCAAGGAGAACATCTGCAAAGCATAGACTCTTAATTCAAACACTCAAAGACTCTTCTAGGAAACCTAGAAGATCAAAGTGTATTTGGGGAAACCCAAACACACTCCTATGAGGCCAGATAGTGAAGAGCCTTGAATGTCTGGTAAGAATTTTGGATTATCCCAAAGGTGATGGAAAATGATTGTTCAGGACTCACTGAAAGACAAAGAAAGGCACAGTCATGATGGATCAGATTTGCCTTTCCAAAAGGATGGCTCTGGTATTGTGTAGAGAATGGCATATGAGACCTAGGTGGGGCTGTTTAGAACATTGGCAACATTTTGAAGTGTTTCCTCAAATAAGTTAGTATATATGCTTATGAAAATGAGAATAATTACACACAGATTTTCATAAGAAAGGAAGGAGGAGAAATAAATCACTGGTCTAAATGGAAAAAGGCATTAATAATCTGATACCCTTAGATATTAACCACTAAACAGAATACTACCCAGTTATTAAAAAAGTAACAATTACATAGTTTCTCTTGATTTATAAGTGCTATATCTGAAACGTGATGGCCAAAGATCAAAATATCCCACTACTGATATAATGATGAAAGAATGAACAAAAAGAAAATTGAGATATTGTATTCTTACTCCCAGGATTAATTGCATGTTGCTGAATGTTTGCATTTAAGAGTGCAAGTCACATGTCTCATATCTCTGAGGCAGAGCCAGATTCAGTGAATATCTGTATAATGTTCACAGTACAAATCAAGACTAACCCTTAGGTAAAGGAACAACTATGAGCCTTGGAATCAGTTGATTAACAAGCCAAGGATGAATAAACTTCCTTTTTTTTTTTTTGTATTAAGCCAGAATATTAGCTGGAACTCAGTTTTTAGTTATGAAAGAGACTTACCACTAAAAAAGTTGCACTTTTTCTGGAAAATACATCCTTTGCTACATACATTATTTTGATAAATGAAGTTAATTTAAAAATGACAGACAAACTATATATCACCTTAAAAAAGCAATGAAATTTTACAATATTAAAATCAACCCAAACCTAAAAAACTGGATTGGTCATTAGAATGGAATATGACATTGTGGTTATTGAAAATAATGTCCTATAAACCACTCTTAGTTTTTACTCACTTACTAGGATGAGATATTGAGATTAATTCAATTTGTCAACTAAATTATTTCAACTTGTCATTAATTTGTGAAATGGTTACAATAATATCTGTTTGTTTCACAGCATTGTTTACCAATCATAGGAAATAATGTAAAAAGTCTATGGCCATACCACCCTGAACGTGCCTGATCTCGTCTGAAATAATGTAAAAGGCAAATTTCTGAAAAGTATAAAGCATTCAAGTTATTAAGATGTCTTAAAAGCACATTGCAGACAAATACTAACATAATTTTAAATAACTAAGAGATTTTGTAGAAAAATAGGATATTGCACTCACCACGTGTTTCCTTTTCAACCCATTTATTAATTTTATATCTGGTGTCTTCTATAGCATTTGTAAAATCCACTCGTTCCACGTTGGCATTGTATAACTTTTCAGCACACTGAATGTAGTTCTACAAATAAGGATACAGGCCTTGTATTTACAAATCACCACCAACTGAGCACAGAAGAAATGTATTTTATAACTTTTTTCTGCATTTCCATTGCTTTATTCCAAGACTCAGCCCTGCCCCAAAGATGAGTAAATAAATATAGCTGGAAATATGAAAACATGATTGGAATGGAATCTGGTGAACTTGAAATTGAAATTTTTACAGCAAATAACACTGTTTTAACTGATGTTTATCTGAAATGGATTGGAAAGGCTAACAGAGATTATGACTAAAGCCCACTCTCTTCCTTTACCATGGCTTTCTCATCATAAATACCTCGAGAGCCTCCTAACTAGTCTCCCTTGTTTGGTCACCTGCTTCCTGCTGAAAACCTTCAAGGCTTAAGATAAAACCCGAGCCCTTGAACCTCGCCTACAATTCTCTGCTGATCTGCACCCTGTTACTTCATTTCTAGTCACTTTCCCCTTCCTAATATGCTCTCTCCCCATTCCCAACTCCTTACTGTTTCTCAAAAATGCCATGTGTCCTCTCTCACTTGAGGCACTTGAACAACATTCCTTCTGCCCAGAATGTTCCATATTTCTCATGATCATGTCTTTCTCATTTCCAAGTTTCAAGAATAGCTATCTCTCCTTGACACACAGCTTCCCTAGGTTCCTCCTATCTATGTCTTCTAATAATTTCTTTACCTTTAATTTTCTTAACAGCTGTTATTATATCATAATGCATCTTCCTTACATTTGAGATTTTCTGAACCCTTCAAAAGGCAGCAAATTTTGTGAAATCAGGACCATATATGCCTTGTTAATATTGTAGTCATAGTACATAGCACACTGCCTTGTACATTATAGACACTTAAGAAATATATTTTTTATAAAAATAAATAGTAGTGATCTTGGGTTGCTTCCACAACTTTGCAATTGTGAATTGGGTTGCTATAAACATTCTAGTGCAGATGTCTTTTTCATAGAATCTCTTTTTTTCCTTTGGGTAGATACCCCGTAATGGGATTGCTGGATCAAATGATAGTTCTACTTGTATCTCTTTTAGGTATGTCCATATCACTTTTCATAGACATTGTACAAGTTTGCAGTCTCACCAGCATGGACATGCTTGAAGCTCTGACTAGGGTGGGGCAAAGCAATATATGTAACCTAAACATTTGTACCTCTGTAATATGCTAAAATAAAAAAAAGTAGTGATCGAATTTGTTAAGACATCAGTAATATAACAAATACACACATATATATTTTAAAGGAAAAATTTTCAGAGTTGGAGAAAAAGATTTATTATAAACCACATTTGATTTTGTATTATCAATGGGTATCCTATTAAATTTTATAGGATTTTCAACTCTAATGATGAAGATTGACTAATTATTCATTGTCTACATTCACAGGATGAAATTATCTCCCTAATGCAAACTTTGCATGTAACTTCTATGGATGAGGCTACTGATTAATTCATCCCTCCATCGACCCATCCGTTCATCCATAAAAAGTGGCCTAACACTTCATAATTGGCAGGCTACCAAGCAAAGGATTTGGGAGTGGTGCTGGAAGGGGCAAAGAATTTGAGTGGGTGGCACACAGAGGGAACAGTAATGACTGGGTGGAACACAGAGAGTTGGCAAAGATACAAGTGGAGATTAGCCAAGAGATGTCACTGAAGTGAAGTTTTACAGTTGTCTGGGGAACACAGAATTAAAAGGGAGAGAAACCATGCCCAGAGAACCATGACATTAACCAGGTAAGAAGCTTATGGTAGTAATAGTAATGCTGGTTGCAAAGCATGGGTTGAGTATTGTAGTGTGTAGACTTCATTCTGGGCCAGATTTCCCTTTGGGTAGGCAGGATTCTATGATGAGTGCATTGATAATATACCCACACCATGCAGAAATGCTAAACATTAGACTACTGATTTTAAGTGAACCCATTTTCCACCTCTGTTGAATCTGAGCTTCCTCTCTGCCAATGGCTGGCCCTATCTGGCCATGCCTCCCACCAGGGACTCTTTTGTAAGTAATGTCACTGGAAAGATAAGTAAGTAATTGCCAGAAGCAGAGATGAAAAGCATGGACGAGAAAAAACAAAAAAGTGAAAAGAGAGAACTCACACTGGGGACTAAAAACTGTCTCGGGAGACCAAAAGCTCAGAGGAAACACTGATAGACTTTTTCTTCTATTGTCCTGGACACCCCTAAGTAGGCTGATTACTCCCCATCCTCTGATTACAGCTCAACTTTGCTGCCAATGGGCACTTACTCTTCTGATTTGGAGCCCATCAGTCTGGTGACCCTGAATATGTGGATTAGTTGGATGAAAAGCTGAACTTTGGAATCAGTGATGATGCAAAGATTGTTATGCTCCTACCTGGGAACATAATTAGGAGCCACAAAGAAAATAATCATCTTTGTCTGGCTGGGTAGAAAGGGGCAAGCCTTTATTCAGATAATGGATTAAACAAGTTTCAGGTCCAGAGTGGAAATAACTTTCTAACATAGGCAGTTTTACTTACCTTGTCAAAGTCAAAAACTTTTTCCGCAAAAAGACCATTAGCAATGCTGAGATCATAATCCTTGTGGGGTGTGTTTATATCGGAAAGAACTCTTTTCAGCTGAGACTGGATTGTTGGCTATTATTAAAAAGATATATAAAAATTTATTCTTTGACTGCAAATATATGTATGATCTCATCTACACATGAAATAAAACATGTATATTATACCATAGAAATTAAAAAATAATGAGCTATAAGAACAGCAAGCAATGTAGCATACATTTATAATGTCTTGCCCTTTCTCATTATAGTGTCTGTGGTCAAATTAAAGAATTTACTAAATAAATAATTAACCTTAGAATAAAATTGTTAACAAAAGATAATGAATATGTACTAAATAATTAATTTTACCCATGTTAGGTGGCTGTGAATATCAAAAGAGAAAGGCAAAACATTTAGTTCTACACTGTCTTGCCAGAATCTGGCCAATACTTAAGTAAAATATTAATAAATTTATACTTAACATGTAAATTATCAAAATTTTATTTGAAATATCCACAATCTGGAAATCTGAAAACAGCTTCTTTTGTTTTCAAAAGGTAGAGCACGTATTTAAATATATTCAGGATACAATAATTTGTTTTCAATTAAGTCTCACATTCTCTTGTTCCAAAAGAACACATTATCTTTACCTGACTATTAGAAGAGCCTCCATGTCCCGAGGCGGCATTAAAGTGAAGCAACTGCAAATAGGACACAAGGAAAGCAGTTATCAGAATCAGAGGTTACCAGAGAACAGCTGGCAAGAGGTTTTAAAAATTAAAATATTTCTTTCCCAATACATCTGTCTAATTGCCATTCCAAGTTCACTAGCATCCTAGAGTGAATTCTTCCCACGACTCCAAATGAGCATCAATAGGCTGGAAAGAAGAGAAACATGCTCTGGTTTTAATTTTGTATTACATTTTCTTCATTTTCTACATCCTGATCTCTCCCAATTTCACCAGGATTTGGAAATCTGTGCTCATTTACATAAATGCAATAGTGACATTGCTTCCAACTAAAACTTGCTTGGTGGTCCACACACAGATGTCAATGCCTCAGTGCACAGCCCTCTTAATTTAAAAAGGAATAAAAAGCCTATTTAGGCAGCTGAGCTTACAGTTTCAATATAGTCAATGAAATGAGACCACAATCCTCACTATCAGAACAATGTAACTTGAAGATACTTGAGGACTGTTTTGTGATGTATGGATAAATGAGCCTCTTTTTGAAATGACCTGAAGCTATAATTTTACATTTGGTCCACACAATTTGGTATCCGATTGTTGTTCCATCTTCGGTGTTCATTTAATACTTATTTAAGTTTCACTTATCAATTTTCCTTTTTTTTTTTGTGCGATTATGGAGTCATGGAATCCATCAGCATTTCCTACCAATAATTGTTCCTAAATTTCTTTTCTTTAATTTTTTTATTCAGCATATTCAATTGGTGATTAAAGGAATTTTAAAACCTAACTTAGAAATATTGCTCTAATTCTGGAGGGAAGAGAATACCTCTAACCCTTCTTAGGGAGAGGCAAAGATATACAATGTAACCAAAAATGTCAAACAAACAAACGAAAAAAAAACCTACCTTTTATCGAGTAGTGGCAGGTGGGAGGGGGAGGAAGGGAAGGGGTATACTTACATGATGGTGTGTTGTGCACCAACTGGGTTGGACACGCTTGAAGCGCTGGCACAGAGGGGAGGGGTGGCAGGGGCAATATATGTAGCCCAAACAATATTTTTACCCCCATTATATAATGAAATAAAAGGAAAAAAATAAAAATTAAAAAATAAAAGAAATACTGCTCGAAAATGCCAAAGAATGATACATTTGCCTTTTAAACCTCTGCGATGGCTTTCAACTTCAAGGCCTCGGACTTCTAATTCATAGCACCATCTTATTGACTAGTGGAAAATGGAAGAGCCCAGAAAGAGGTATGAACACTTAAAAAACTATGAATATTGCCCTTAGTCTTAATAGGTCACAGAGAATTGAGACCTTTCTTAATTTCTATATCCTCTTAATCTTGAATAATAATATGAGATGAAAATGAGAGATAAGGCAAAGTCTACAAAGCAAATTTGATATACAAATTAGTAGTTATTTAAAATTCATAGATGGGATCTCTGCTGGCATCAAGACACCATGCTTAGCAGCTTAGACTTCTTTTATCAACATGGGTGTCATTTTCCCCCTACCCCTGTGCTACTGTGAAGCATCAAGAATACCTGCTTTCCTTCTCATTTGATCTTGGTAGAACATATAAAATTTCAATGCCTTTAAAAATATGGTAGTTATCTCTTCCCAACTTATAGAAAGAATTTAAGGGTAGAATATGGTCCTTGAACAATCTTGCCTCCTTTCTGTGGTCAATTTCATGGTGACTGCGATTTGTCCATTGGTCAACAATGGAGTTAATAACTTGTCACTAAGAATAAAAGGTTGAATAGGATC